AATCCAGAAATAAATTTAAAATAAAATCTAAATATGTTTGAAGTATTCTAGAATGTGTTTACAAGCCTTTTAGTATCTTTAGAATGTAACAGGAACATGATGCGATCATTTTCTTACAAAATATTCTTTAATGATGATCGAATTTTCGTTATTTATGATTTATTTTTTCTGAAATCATGCATTTTGATGATTGTATTGTTGAGTTTTAAGTTATGTTTTTCATTAAAAAAATTCTCAGAAATTTACAATCTAAAATAATTTTACAGGATAATACCCCGCTTGTCAGGCATCGAACTGAATGAACTCGAACCTGTGGAAGTTGGTTTGATTCTTTTTTCTGATAGTTATCGTTAAATACTGTCAATGATGAATTGCTTTTTACATTAAAATATTCAATTTTTTTTGTATTGATAACAAAATAATAAAAAGTACGAATAATAAATCAAGAAAAAAGAATTATTATTTGAATAAAAAGAAACAATGGTGTAGTGCGAGACTTTTTGAATTTATCATTTTCAATGGATTTTCAGAAAACAGTTCAATAGGACGAAGTATGGTAGCTGCTTTTTACATATAATCTACGAAACCAAAACAATTCAAAGATTGTAGATGTGGTTAAACAGAATATCAACATCTATACTCACATTCTTCTTGATATTATTAAAAGTACTGATTATAAATGCAAGTTTTAATCCAGATTTGTGCAACTTTTTCTTAAACTCTAACGACATGGTTTAGAAAAAGTTTTCGTTAAAACTTCAATGGCTAAAATATGTTTAATGGATACATGTAATCGACTTATTTACTAGTTAAATCAATAATTAAAATCATAATAAAACATACGATATGAAATATATATCAATAAGCCAAACAGAAATTAGAGCACAAAATAAATGACAATCTATTCTGATTGATTTAGAAAATTTAGATATGATTGTTATAATAGAGATAGATTCTAGTAAAAAGAAAAAAAGTAAATAAATTAATTCTTGTTGCTAAGTTTCCATTTTATGAATTGATATTTTTAGTCTTTATTGAGGATGTGAGTATGGATGACAGAGAGAGAGTATATATGATTCATCAACATATCCAAACAACATCTACATTCACACCGTATTTTGAATATGTTCAAGTAAATCAGCATATAATTTTTCTGGATTCGATTCATTTATGAATGCTTGTTCAAATTGACGTCAATGTTCAATATTCGTTAACTAAAATAAATAAAATAGATTTTTTGTTTTTTGTTGATACAATTGATATTTGCAGGTTTTCTTTTAATATACCTGCAGATACTATTTTCATATCAGCAATAAGAAATAAACGATTGTCTGATTCTTCGAAACGAACACTGAAACGTGATAACATCAATAAAAACCTAAAAAAAGTAAAAGATATACAATACTATCTATGAAAATTCATTTTGACATTTCATGTCGAAATTTATTGATTTTGTATTGATCGTCATTCCTTCGGATTTCAATAAAGAGTTTTTGTTTTTCATTACTATTTTACTATTTATCTTTTCCAAATAAATTTTAATTGTATGTGTAAGTCTTGATAATTTTTAAAAAGAAAACTAGGAAGAATATTTAACCATAGGCAGAATTTTACTCATAAGAGGGTGGGGGTGTGGGAATCATTATAGGTCTTGTCTTCACCCACACCCACACCCTGTGATAGACATGCACTTAACATAAGACACGTTAACCCCCATATAGCCATACATAGTGATTTTCTTTGTGCAATATTTGTCATTGATAATAAAGTCCATTCATTAACTTTAGCTGAATAACGTGCATTAATTAAAGCACGAAAAAAAAACTAATGTGTGCAAGTAATAATGATAAAGGACGTAATAAAAGTAAAGCTTCATATGGTAATGTTGATGATTGTTTTGTACGTGCATATAATTCTTCAACAAGTTCAGTAAGAATATTATCTGATGATGATATTATTGATGAACTATCAATTATTGTTTGTTCTTTATTAACATGTTTATTATTTAATGGATTTTGTATTTTTATTTGGTCGTTGTAATAATGTATAAATACATGAAAGTATTAACACCATATATCATTTTTGGGATATTGACCAACTATTAAAAGTTTTTCAAGACTAATTGATATAAGTTTTTGTGTTAAATTATCATCTTTAATTAATAATAACCAAATATCATATGAATTTAAATCAACTTCATGACTTTCAAGTAAAAATAAACATAATGTATATGCATAAGTTTTAGTTATTAATTTATAATTACGTTCAATTAAATTTATATATAATTCATTATATTCTTTAGTTCTTTGTTCAAGTAATATACTAGATTTACATAAATTATAACTTATTAAGGATATTATTAAATCATCTTCATCAAACCATGTACAAATAAATCAGATAGATATATAATTGAACCTATTAATTTGTATTACATATATTTCAATTAGAATTTGTAATAATAATGTTAAATCAAAACCATGATGAAAAAATAAGCGATCAAATAAACTCTAAATTATATATTTTTAAAGATGGGATGCCAGCAAAGAAAATGTTCATACTCTAATTTTTTGATTGATAGAATTTATTTGAAATTATTGATATAAGTATTTATCTCTATGAAATAAGATAGTTTGCATGTATTATATATCAAATCAAAGTCAGAGAAACACTAGATTTTCTGTTTGATGAAATTAATAATTTAGCAATGAATTTATCTTTCTTTTAACTTAGAGTTCTATTTGTCGATTATTAAAACATATGTGAGACTTACATTAACTGATAATGGTAATGTATTATTACTTTGGATTGATGTTAATATAATATTATATGAAAGTTGTCCATAGGATAATAAATCACGTGTACCTAACCGTTCAATATTTGTAAATAAATTATTTGAACTTGTATCTAATATTGATAAAAAAAGAACAGATAAAATCTAGTTTATTTTTCAATCTTGTTACCATTGTGTTGCATTTGTTTCTAAAGTTTCTTCTTTTTTTTTTAAAATTATTTGTTGTTTGTTTATTTTCATCATTAGATTGATTTGTGATGAATTAATTGAAGCTAAAAATGAAGCCTATATTTCTTGAAATTGTATTCTTAATAATCAACCAACTTCAAAATTGTCTTTACATAAATATTGATAAACAAAATAATAATATAGCTATACAATATAAATCATGTCAATAAATATATGATATATACGTGTATATTTAATTTTTTTTTGTTAAATAATAAAGATGATCTTTTATCTGGTTCAATTAAATTAAAATATGATTATAATATATTTGATATAGTTAAACCATGTCGTTGATAAATATATTCAAATATTGATAATAGTATTTTCGATAATGTACAACATGATATTATTTGATCTATTTCACAACTAATAAATGATGTTTTTTTTTTGAAACATATTTATATAAATTATTTCTGATATAAATATTATAAAACGTAATAAGTCACGTATATCACCTGTTGAAAATTGACATGTTAATTCAACATAATTTTATATTGTATCAAAATATATTGATAGAGAATCTATGAATGCAATTGAATATGGTTGATTATTAGAAGCATGATAAAAGACTTTTTTCATAAATTGTATTAGGTGTTGTTTCAATGTCATTTTAATTTGTTTCATTTGATATAACTATACAAAATCCTAGGAAAACAAACAAAGAACAGATTTATATTGTTTCGTATTTTCTCAAATCAATTTTCATTTACTATAAGAATCATCCTAAAAACTTAATGCTGTGGAAAAATCCAATACGTTTTCGAAGTTCACGAGTTCAAACTTATAGAAAGTTTATCGAAATTCTCGAATGCAATTTATTTCGAAATATAATATTAGAAAGACGTCGTTTTCTTTAATTGTAACAGTACAAATAGCACAACTGAGAATTTGATCAATAAGATTCGAGAGGAATTATTCGATCATTGTACTAATGTAGCTTAAATGCTTTCCTTTACGATTTGTATTACCTGAAATTTTGCATATTTTCTATTTCAAAATATTTTTCGAAATTTTGAATTATTCAAAAGTCTCATCTATTACTAGCACATAAACAATGTCAAAGTAAAAAACAAAAATTTCTTTTAATTGGATTAAAATTTTTATTATACATATATATTTATTTATTTCGATAAATTAAACTAAAATATACCGGTGACATCATAAATGGTAATCAGTTTTTATAAGTTATATTTTTAAGCATTTGTTCATAAATTTTTCTTGTTATATCCATAGGACAATTAAGATTATTAAAATCTTCTTTAATAATATCGATTGATATTGTTATTGATAATATTTATAAAATTAATGGTAAATATTTAGGTAATAGTTGTTTATTTAATGGTAATGGAAGAAATTGTTCAATTAATAAAACTAATATAAGACCACTTTCATATAAATGTATTCCTTCAGAAACGAATAAATGACTTGCAACTGATGTATGATGTATAAGATCAAATAAAAAAAAAATAATAATAATTGATAATGTGTTGTTATTGATGTAAAATGTTCAATATATAATTCATGATGACATATTAAATCACAATATGATTGTAATTAACCACTTATAGATAAATGTATTCTTGATGATGATGGTGGTAATGTCGGTGACCAGCATGCTTCTTGTGTATAATCAAGCATATTAAGAATATGTGTCCATTGTAATAATAATGAGATATAACATGATGATCATAATAATTTAAAACATTCATTTAAAATAGTTAAATATGAAAATATATCAAGACGATGTAGAGTTTCATCATGAATTCATAATTGATGAAAATCATTTACAATTGTTCGAAATCGTTTAACTAAAATAAAATCATGTCATATTGATTTGACCACATAATTGTCGAGTATTAGTTAAAATTCATAATATTATGTCATGTAAAACACGAAGAAGAGCTCTGAAAACAAAAACGAGAATAATAGTTTTTAAATTATAAATAAAATCATTTCGAATACTTACGCACTAAAAGTTTCATCTCATGTTCCATTAACTGATAATAAAACATCATTCTATCGTGTTAATATAGCATCTTCAGTTAAATTTTGTACAAGACATCGAAGTATTATATTTATATTGATTAATTATCGATTTGTAGATTGACAATTGACATTCTAAAAAAAGTTTTGAACTACAGGAAAATTTTATAAATAAAAACAACGAATATTTCTATTTACTAATGCTCGAAAAGCAACAACAAATGGATCAATTGATCGTAATGCAACTGATGAGACAACATCAAATAGTGTTAATTGTGTGGAATAAATATCCAAAAGTGATTGATCCTATTTGAACAAAAAAAAAAAAATAACGTAAAACCAGAGACTATTAAAACAAAAAAAATAACCTGAGATTGTAAATGAACAAGAAGTACATCGACAATTTATCGTGAAAGACGTTTCCATTTATCATCTTCATGACGGACACTATTAACAATAACTGTTAACAATCGTAAATCCTATAACAATATAAATTCTATTATTATTTTTTCAATAAATACACATGATATGAAAAGATACTTTTATTTATAATAATTAAGACGCCTAGTTTTCCTTCAAACTTAAATACATAACTGAAGATTACTGTCTCTAAATCTTGTTGAGTTCTGGACATCAACAAGATGATTATTTTCAGATCATCGATTTGTTGAAGTGTGAGTGTGGGTTCAATCGAGGAGAAAAATTACATCCACACACTCACACTCTTATTTAATAAAACGTTTTAGGAATTTTAATTATTCGCATAACTCGAACAAGAAAAAAAATCATCTAAAACTGGTTCTAATGCTGCCAAAGCTAAATAAAGAATTTTAACGATAATTTCTTTTTCTCGAAAATGTTTTTTTTTTGCTTCCTACCATGTGTTTCAGGTTCATGTCCACTTGTTAATAACGAATCATAATGTTTTATTAAATCTTGTATGTTAATAACTTGTTTTGAATGAACTGTATCATGTGATAACATAACAAGAAATTCAGCAATACAAAAAATAAAATGCTATTTAAAAATAAACGAAACGATTAGAAATGCAACGAATTTCATCAGCTTCTAATTAATCATAATTAACACGAATTAAAAGTAATTAAACAAGTCGAGTACAGCAGCTTGAAAATCACTTTCATTTGTATATTAATATATTTTTTAAGACTAATTTTTTAGTTCTATAGAAACTAAAATACAAAATAAAAAAAACAGAATAGATCAAATTCGTTTTTTTGTTCATTTTACTCTCGTATTGCACTATTTATATTTGATGCATAACGTGAACCAAATAAAATAAATTATCGATTGTCGAATACTTATTGTATGAATATAAGTTAAAGAATTATTTAATGATACTTGTGAAGAAACATTTGAAGATTTAATAAAAACTAAATTAAAAGAATATTTTTAAATGAATGTTGTGTTAACAGAAAAA